AATTCGCTGGGACGACTGCACCGCCATGGACTCGGCGGCGTCCCTGGGCGATCTTGCCGCGATCCAGCTGCTCCACGCCAGTCGGCTTCGGTGCGCCACGGAGCGTACGATGATGTACGCGGCCTGCAACGGCCATTTGCACGTGCTTCAATGGCTCCATGCGCACCGAACGGACGGCTGTTCGGGCGACGCGGTGGTCCTGGCCGCGGTGCGTGGGCACACGGACGTCGTCTCTTGGCTCGTGGATGTCTACGGCCTGCCGCCGACCAACGCCGCACTCGCGTCTGCGGCGGCCACTGGCAACCTTCCGCTCGTGCAGTATCTTGTGCACAAGCTGCCCAACGGTGCCGCCTCGGGTCGCGTCGGCCACGTATGCTGTTGCTCCGTGAAAGTGCCGTCGGTGCATGGCTGTAGCAGCAACTTTAAGGCCGAGTACTTTGACGGCCGTCCAACCGACTGGGCCATTCGGCATGGTCACCTCGAGGTGCTGCAGTGTCTCGTTGCCCATGGCTACGTGGTGTCGTCGGTGGCCATGCACGACGCTCTCCAGTACGGTCGCGTTCACCTCGTGGTCTACCTCCGCGACGTCTTTGGCCAGCGCTGCTCGACCTTTGACGCGCTTTTGATGGCCGTGCGCCATCTCTCGATCGACGTGGCCCATGGTCTTTTTAGCCAAAAGAGATGGGCGACCACTGACGATCCGGGTGACCGCGCCATCGACGCGCGCATTCTCTGCGTGCATGCGGCCCGACGCGGCGATGTGGCGATGCTGGACCTTGTGACCAAGGTCTTGGCGCTCGACTTTCAACTCGATCTGCCCCGACGGGTGCAAGAACTCATGCTGGTGCGTGCGGCCGCCCATGGTCACCTCGAGATGCTACGGTATCTGGTGCAGACCCACGGCTTTGCATGGACAAGTGCCGTTGAGAGCGCGGCGCGAGAAGGGCGCCGAAAGAGCGTGCTTGGGTTTTTGGTGACGCTAGGACCAGCGGTGCCGTCGGCGCACGCGATCGGGGACATGACTCTCAAGTACGAGGTGTACGATGACTCCCGTCGGCGGAACTGGTTCGACGAGGAAACGTGGACGTAATAGCCATCGAAACAAATTCACTCAAATGGCTAGTTCCTGCAATCGTGGTGCTATTGAAACGTCATATCAACGCGCAGTTACATTGTTTCGATATACCAATAGTACGCATTGAAGAATATGCATTGCAGCTCGTTGGATCGATGGTTGTCCTTGCATACATACTGCTGGTGTATTCAATAATCGAAAAGGGGCACTGCCGGGACTCGAACCCAGCTCTACCTGGTGGTAAACCAGTCGACAGTAATCTCCCGTTTCGACGGAACAACGGAGACCATTACAGCCGTTTCAGAGCGGGGTAGGGTCCAATTTAAAATGGGTGTTGCTATTAGAAAACGTCCCGTGACATTCCATGCAAAATTTCGCGCGTCGATGCGAAGCACGTTATTACGTGGAGATAGACACAAGATTCTTGGAGCCCGTTGTTGAACTGAGTTCTATTACATGCAATTATAAAGATATGGTGGACTTCCTAATGCGCTCGTGAGGCGTGGCCGGTGCTTCAGCGAGGAGCGTTAGTGGTCGTGGTTCGAGATTGTGTGCGAGGGACCAGGTAGCGTGCACACCACAAGCTTCTTGCAGCCCGTCAGTCAAGTCGATAGATTCGTGTTGAGTGCTTACAACGACCTTGCCGCGTTTTACGGTGACGTGGCAGCTCTGGAGCTCTTGCATGCAAGTCGACTTCAGTTTCAGTGCGCATCCGCGCGCGCCACGGCCTTTGCGAGCGACAACGGCCATTTGCACGTGCTCCAGCCCATCGCCGGGATGGCTACTTGGAGGATGCCTTGGCGCGGACCTCTATTATACATGTTTGCGCTGGCTACTGGAAGTCTGTCAAGTTCCCGTGACCCAAGTCGCGCTCGCATCGGCAGCCTACGTCGGCGACTTGGCCATTGTCACGTACTTTAGCAGCCCCACGCCATCGAGACGAATAATCGCATCGGCAAGCTGTGTCGCTCGTTCCTTCCCGAGAACGGCGGTGCACTGGCCCGACGATGTCAATGGCCTGGCCACCAAGTGGGCTGCGCGCAACGGCCATCTCGAGGTACTCCAAGTGCTGGTGTCGACTGGCCACCCTCTGTGGCCGGAAGCCATGAACGAGGCCATCACGCAAGACCATTTGCCAATGCTACGGTGCCTCGACCAAGTGGGCTCGCTTTCGTGCAGCAACCTCAAGGCTATGAAGAAGAACCAAGTCGACGTCGTCACCTATACTCTCACGCATCACTGCTGGCGTGGTCGGCCAGACCAAGTCGTCGAGATGTACATGTGCGCGGAAGCGATCGGCGTGGATGGATCTGGTTCGTGACGAGCTGCTGGAGCGCGAACCGCTCGCGATACCCGATCTCATCTCCCACGCGGTGCATCGTGGTGACATTGCTGTGCTTCGTTGCTTGGTCGAATCGTTTGGTGGTGTCATCGACGAGCCTGTGCGTGCCGCGGCTGCTCAAGGATGGCACGAGGCCGTGCGTGCGTATGTGGCTTCCATCATACCGTAGTATCGTAGTCACCACCTTCCTTATCTCTGGATTCTTCAGGATAACACCATTTGATTCATCTTGAAAAACATCGAGCGTGTACTAGTACATCTCATCTTTCATTATATACATAGTACCTATAGCGTCCGAAATTTGACGGGATCGCGAGAGACCCTAACCTCGCATCGCCAAAACCGTGTCGCACGCAGTCGTCCATACAGCGGCGACCAACATCGACCCAACGCTATACAACGTATTATACTCCAAAATGAATGAATCTAGTCGAAAAGGACAGTACACTTCCAGCATGGCGAGTACTGGTATTGTTGTGTGCTTGGAGGCGCTTATCTAGAATCACCCAACCTTGGGACGCGAATCGCCCTGGCAAGAGACTTCCACGTCCTTTTTAGCCCTTTATGCCTATACATCAATTGTACAAAATATACAATAGCACCGACCACTCGTCGCTACATTCGGCTGTCCCGGTTAGATAAGTGCTTCTCGCAGCATGCGCATCCAAACGGCGTGCAAATAGCTTCCTGGGAAGTTTGTGTGACGCTGCAACTCGAAGTTCGAAGCGTGACTTTTAACCAATGAGGGACGAGCGCAGGGGTGGTAACGCATATTCACGGCCTCCTTCGCTTGGTTCTGTCGGCAGCGGACGACGGACGAGCAGCATGCACCCGACGACGCCGAGGAAGACCGGGTCGCGCAGCCATGTCGCCATGGGCCACACCGCTCCGGCGGCCTCGGCGCTGCGAAGGAACACGTCTATGACGACGACGCCCTCCATCCAGCAGTCGCTGAGCCGCAGTCACGGCCATAGCTCGGGCATGCGCTCGTCGACATCGACGCCCAACATGCGCGACCTCATGACGCAGTCCGC